ATTCAAATTCAAATTCAAATTCAAAATTTTTATTTCAGATAAAACATCCATATTTATGTTAGTAGTAGTACAACTTAGCCTAATGTTAGTAAATTATAATAATTATATGTTGATTACTTTATTTGGATAAGTGAGTCTGGATACTTATCCATCTACGTAACAGGGGAGAGTCCCACCGGTCAATGAACACACTCAGGATGCCATTGGAGGAAGAACGCAGGCGCGCCAACATTGAGGCGCATCTCTTCCGCATGATCGCGGCGAACCCATCCACACATGCGTCCGCGAACATCCCTGACGCGCTACATCGCCACTGCAACCCCAAAAGCACCCTAAATGCGCCATTGTACTGCACGCGCAGATCGCTGTATGCCCGCTGGGTATACATGGTCCACAAGCTGCACGTGTAAAACGACTGGCAAAAGGCCTTAAAAAGAGTTATTTTTACGGATTCCGTACAATGTGCAAACCTGCGGGCCAGCATGTTGCAGCGTACAGCCAGCGACCTGCGCTCCCTGTCTATATCTGCATTGTCTTTTAAGTCATCAGTGACCCAGTGACCCAAATACTTGAACTTCGAAACCCGACCTAATCGAGACCCAGAGAGTGAGAGTTCAGGCAGTTGTTTGTAGTTTAAAGTAGCTGATTTAAAAACCAACCATTCACTCTTATGGGTATTGTATTTAAGTCCGTGAGTAACCGCATAGCTTTCACAAATTTTAAGAAGTCTTCTCATTGCGCTGATAGATGGACACAGCAGCACCATATCATCAGCGTAACTGATGTTGTTCACGCAGACACCGTCAACGTGACATCCAATTTTAGTGCTACTGAGTCTACCCATCAGTTTGTTTATGTATAGGTTGAAAAGACGCGGAGAGGTCAGACCTCCCTGCCTTACACCACAGTCAAGCCCATACATGTCAGAATAATTACCAGCCCAATTAACAGTATTCTTTTGACTACTGTACCAATATCTAAACAATGATATCACATCAGACGGGACAGTAGTATCATGCGTGAGCTTGTGCCAGAGCAGATCATAATTGACCAGGTCGAAAGCCCTCGATAAATCCAAGAAACATGCTATAACAGGAGTCTTTCTGTCTATGTAATATTGGACAGTCTGCTTAAGGCATAAAATTGCACTATCCGTTGACAAGTTAGGTCTAAAACCAAATTGACCATCCTCAAGAGCGATATGTTTAGCAAGAATTTTATCAAGCAGACTATCCAATACCTTAGCACAGATAGTGGCAAGCGATATCGGCCTATAGTTGGAAATATCTGAGGCGTCACCAGTCCTATTCTTTATTACTGGTACAACTATCGTTTTACTCAGTTCCATAGGTAAATAACTATGACTTATACATAAGTTAAAAATCAGAGCAAGTACTCGCGGTAAGTGTACCCCAGCGTATTTAAGATGTTCGACGCTGAGGCCGTCGTGACCGGGCGACTTTCCCCTCACCATTTTTTGTATAATTCTCGCAACTTCTTTAGCGGAAAACCTGACAGATGGCGCTCCGGTCACGGCCGCCCCTGCGCCACTATATGACGGTTCACTATAACCGCACAAACGCGGATTAACATTAAAATGTTTTTGAAAAGCATTAGCTATATCAGCGGGATCGCTCATGCCCGCGACGCTCACCGGTACCTCCGACCTATGTTTTAATTTTAATTTAATTTTAAGTTAAAATTTAATGCCCTAAGCGAGTATACATATCTTCAATTCAAACGTAGAGCTCATTATGTTGATTTTTGAAGAGTTCCCTAGAATATCTTCCACATTTAATTTTTGAAAAGATCCGGAACTATGTGAGTAAAACCAAAAATCTGCCGGAAGTCACTATTCCACGCGAACGAAGTCGCGGGCAAAAGCTAGTTTTAAATATAAAGACGAATAGAAACTACCATAGCGCTATTCTGCACTGACAAAGTTTTTAGCTAGTCAAATTCAATGTTACCTATCAAAATATAAAATATACTGTGACATCGAACGTGATACTCTGTGGCATTCTTTTCTTTTTTTAAACGTTGCCCCACACTAGGATTTTCTCCTGTGTCGTGGGTGCGTTTACAAACATACAAGTTCACATACCCATCACACACAGACACGGAACAACAATTGAGATAAGTCTATTGCCATATACCGGGCACAGTTCCAGACTACGTGCCACTACTGAGATTTAAAAAAAACCAGTAATATTTTGCCCGACCCGGGAATCGAAACCGAGACCCCTTGCTCGGCTAACAATTAATGGTATTATTATAGTACTTTATTTCTTACCTAAGTAAGGATGATGACAGTGAGCCAGAAGATGTTGTAGATGCTGATGCTGTACCGGTATCGGCCTGCTGGCGATGGGCTTCGCGATAGGCCAGGGACTGCCCATTATCGGCTGCCGATATTCTGGAATAGGACAAACGGTTTTTGATTAGATTAAGGAATAAAATGACTGCCGGGCAAGGGGCCTCGGGTTCGAAGGGGTTTTCCGATACTTCGTGTAAAATAAGCAGTAAAATTAAATATTATTTAGATGTATGTATAGTATTTAACATAACATCACGCTTTTTATCCCCGAGGCAGAGGTGCACATTATGCCACTGTACAATGTAACACCCACTTTTCACTGTTTATGTTATGAGTCCCATGTAATAGGCGGTGAGCCTATTGCCATATACCGGGCACAATTCCAGACTCCGTGCTACTACTGAGAATTTTTTAAAAAGCCATTACAGTATTTGTGACCTGAATTATTTGTATTTATGGTTGATGTCCCAAGTCTGCCGCGGAATAGGACTAGTTCAGCATGAGCAAGACAGGGCTTTACGCTGGTATGCTGAGAGGGAGAGTCAGACTCTTACTGACTAAAAGCCACCCCGTTCAAAATCATAGCATTTATTTCAATTAAATCATAATTTGGAACTTTTAAAACGTCAACAAATACAAAATAAATAATAGTCTGTCAGTCAGTCCGTTAGCAAAGCTAGGTAAAGCTAGGTGCTCAATCCAAAATGTAGATTCGAAGTTAGAAGAACGAGAAAGAAACACCGTTCGTTACTCTTTTAAAAAAAGTATGTTCTACAATGTCCCTGATACATATTCCAATACTGTACGTATATGTGAGAACAATGCAAAGATACGCTTGATGCAATATAGGTACTAATTACAAACCTTACTAAAATAAAAAAATCTTATAGTCTAACATGGTGCTCACATATGCATACTGACAATCCATAGAAATAGTGCTTCTATACAAGAAAAGGAAACTCTTTGTTTCAATGTTCCTACTCCTGCTCTTCAAGACGGAGCCCCGACAACCCGTTAGGCTTTCCGCGGCGGCAATGGCGACCCCTCGCGTCCGGGCCTAGTGCAGGCCATGATGCGGAGCGAGGGGGACTGGGATGCCGTCTCCTCCTTTTGCGAAGCAGTAATGCTAGCTAAGGAGGAGGCGGGACGCGTGAGGCAGCGAAGCGCTGCCTCCTCGCAACCCAGCCATCGCGAAGGACACACCGGGCGTCAGGGATCGCGGGACGATCTCCGGCCACCGTGAGCGCGGGCCTGCGGACGGCGAGCATGGGTGGCTCCCCGTCCGACCAGAAACAGACCCGAGCGTGCGGCGCGTCGCGTTCCGCGCGCGCCTCAAAGAGCAATCAGACCACCACAGATGGGGCCCAACAGGGCCGATGACGATTCGGAGTCGCGGAGAACCTAACGGGTAACCGGGGCTCCGTCTCGACGTGCAGGAGAAGGAACAGGGTGGTTTTTAGTCAGTAAGAGTCTGACACTCCTTCCCGCCTCACCCAGGCGGGAGCAGTCATTCGATGATTTTCCTCCATTAAAAAAAAGGCCTTCCGCGGCTCCAAAAAAACCCTTAACTATATTAATTTGCCTACACTATAAAATCGAACTCAAGCAAGACCAACCAAGTGAATTATATAGAGAGAATGTCTATATACACACGAAGAGACAGATCAATATAAAATAATCAAAGTTGAACAGCTCGGTAATGGGATAAAGACGTGATTACTATACAATGGTTGGGTGTTGGCTGTGGTACAAGTTATAGACTGGTAGCGGGTGTAAATCTATGTATATTGTTATTATGGTATTTTCTTTTGCCACTTAATGGCAATTGGTAATCATTCGGCGCCGCCTGTTCACTAGAAGAGTTGCTTATAAGGGCGTGGCCAGTCTGGAGCCTTGAGGTTTGGTTTTTGGACTATATATATATGTATAAAGATTACAAAGAGAAAGAGGGTCTGAGTAAAAGACTAGAATTTGTCAAAATTCTGTGAGAATCTATATGTGTAGTTTGTTTGTAAGTATGTCTCTATCCCTATTCTTTAACGCATAATAATTATTTTATAAACTACGTTTATAAAACCGTCATCAAACCCGTCTTTTTATGAAGTCGGTTAATTAACCTTCCCCCTTTTTTAATTAAACACTTTTCTGAAAATAGGTTCAGCCAATCTCGAGATAATCGCGCACATACATACATACCATACAGAACAAACTGAGAACTTCCTTCTTTTTTGAAGTCGGTTAAAAACAATATGAAACACAATATGAAGAAGGTAGAAAAATGGTCCCTTGCGAAATCGCTATTGGCTTTACTACATAGGAAATGGCATTTGCATTAGTAATGCAAAAACAAATAAATTATTATGTTTTCGGCTTACTCACGTAATTATTTGACCGCGACGCGGCGACTGTCGCGCTGCTACAGCTGAGTAGCAGCGCGATAGTCGCCGCGTCGCGGGTCGCGAAATGCTGCTCATGGATATGAGCCTCTAGCATGGCTTAAAACTAGTCGAGTTCCTCGTCAAATAATTACGTGGGTAAGCCGAAAACATAATAAATTATTTATTATGTCTCACGAAAGTTATAATACAAAACAAATATTTAGAGAGATTTACTGAAGGTCAAAACTGTACATAAATTTCCACTTATACTTACAGAACATTACAATTAACTTTAACAATTTAACCTACAGCAATTACGATACAAACCAGCCAACTTAAACCAACATTTAAACAATAAAATTGAACTCAATAAATAAATAATTAATTAATCGATACGCGCCCTCCTACAACTTGCACCACACTCCCTGATTTCTTGCCACCCCGCCGTGTCAAAGGCACACTTCTCCATTATATATTGCACGCCTTTGTGATATCATTAATCATTGCTATCCCTTCAGATTTAAACTATTATGTTTGTTTGTGTAAATACTTGATTATACTGAAGAGAATATAATTGTTTAAGGCCGTTATATAAGCCTCGCTACATCCTTGTTGACTGGACATCTACACTACATGAGCTGCTGTTTACATGTGAACATTAGCTCATGACGATACCTAAGTACGTGAGTCGCATGGACAGTCAACCTCGCTACATCCTTGTTTACTGGTCATCTATACTACATGAGCTGCAGTTTACATGTGAACATTAGCTCATGACGATTCCTAAGTACGTGAGTCGCCTGGACAGGCAACCTCGCTACATTCTTGTTGACTGGACATCTATACTACATGAGCTACAGTTTACATGGGAACATTAGCTCATGACGATTCCTAAGTACGTGTGTCGCATGGACAGTCAACCTCGCTACATCCTTGTTGACTGGACATCTACACTACATGAGCTGCTGTTTACATGTGAACATTAGCTCATGACGATTCCTAAGTACGTGAGTCGCATGGACAGTCAACCTCGCTACATCCTTGTTGACTGGACATCTACACTACATGAGCTGCTGTTTACATGTGAACGTTAGCTCATGACGATACCTAAGTACGTGTGTCGCCTGGACAGTCAACCTCGCTACATCCTTGTTCAATGTCTACACTGTATGAACTATACATAAAATAAACAGTAGTTAGTAAAGTACAGTCCCCTAAATTCATTATGTTACTATTACCCAAAAGGGGCGTGTCAAAACATACATTTGTAATAACAAATGATGTGTGAACAAAATACCCCTAGCTAACGTTATTTCAACTGTACTAAACAGGGCTTAAAAAAAGATAAAATAAAAACGCTTTGTTAGAAGATCAAAAACTATCTTTTATTGTCTATGGATTAGCTCTGTTTGCTTTGCATTATGGTTTTATTGGGTCTATTGTCGATGGTTGCTTTTTTGTTTTCTCAAGTGTTGCCAGAGGTTTGGCGTTGCGCTTTTTTTATTGTTAAAAGAGTATTTAATGCTGTTTTTTTGTGGTGGCAATTTAATGTGGTTTTTATTGAGTTTATGATTTTTATTGTTAGTTCTTTTTATTAGTTCGTGCGTAGATACTTAGATTTATTGGGTTTTCTTTGGATATTCGCTCGATTGATTTCGTAGAGGTATATTGGTATAAGAAAATTATTTGAAAGCAATTACATTCAGTATTTTAAGCACTTCACGTAAAAAACGTGTATGAAATGGCTTTAGCAACCAGTCACATATCTTCAGAAGTATATTATCACATCATTACATACGTTGGTATACAAAATGGATAGGTTTTGTAGTACCAAACCACCCTAGCAATTACTACAAATACACAAGTAGCTATACAATAACCGTATCAGCTGACTAGACAACTACATAATTATACATAATGTAGGTCAATTAGGCATAGGTTGAATGCATTTGATAGACTTGTTGATATTATCCCAAGTGCGAGTGACTCTATGATGAGTCTATCTAGTCGTCACTGCATGTGTGCCCACTGAAAATCAGTGCTGGGTGACTTGTATGCCTGGCTTACACTGAGTGGGTGACCATTTTAGCATAGGCATGTTGTCAGCGTCTCTCTTCTAATTCTTCTGTTTTAATTTTTCAACTCCATGTTTTTATTACTTCCACTGTGACACCTATATTTCATTTATGCTGTATCGTGCCTGGTGCTGAATAAATGTTTTTACTTTCTTTCTTTCTTTCTATGATCACATTTGTACGCTTTCTATCTATACATAGAACATTAAAGGCAGTATCATCAATATTAAAGGTCCACTGCTGAACTATGAGCCTCCTCTATATTCGAGAGCATCATCTAAGCAAATTGTTTGCAGACTACAAATTCACATGTGTAGATTTATCAGATGACACTGCTGCCCAGTCTTTTATATGGTACTAGCGACCCGCCCCGGCTTCGCACGGGTGCAATATGTATATACATACAAACCTTCCTTAAGAATCACTCTATCTATTAAAAAAAACCGCATCAAAATCCGTTGCGTAGTTTTAAAGATCTAAGCATACATACGGACATACAGCGAAAGCGACTTTGTTTTATACTATGTATTGAAGCCGGTACACGAGTAGACACGGATCACCTGATGGTAAGCAATCGACGTCGCCCTTGGACACTTGGAACACCAGAGGCGTTACAAGTGCGTTATAGGCCTTTTCATAAAGATTT